TGTCTATATCGGTAGGTGTAATAGTGGCAGCAGTTTTTGTTTTCGTTTGTACAGTCACAGACCAGAAATATCAACAAAATGATAAAATAACTGTAGAAAAAATTAAAACATAGTTAAAAATGTATGCAATATTTTCACCCGAGTAACCATTTTTTCTAATCTGCATTGTATTCATAAAAAATTGGCAACATATCTGGTAACATAAGAAGAAACATGCCTTAAACACACAGATATTAGAGTGGAAGAATTATTCCCATAAGGATATGTTATTGAAGATTGAATCCATTTCTCTCTGTATTCCCTATAAAAGCTGCAATATAAGTGAACATGTTCCACTGTTTCTACTGCTCCTGCACCACAAGAGTATACCTGTTCATTGTCTGGGGTCTTATTAAATCGTCCTTTTAAAAGTGCTGATGGTAGCACATCAAAACGGGCAAGAGTAAATGGTCTTCTGTACTTTGGGATAGTTCATGTATACAGATCTGGGGCTGGAGTAAATCCATCATTATAGCAATTATTGCAGTCAAGATGAAATAATGAGGAACAAGTTTTATTAGCAGCAGCTCTCGAATATTGAAGATCTGGGCCTATTAATCTTTGAACAACAAGAAATTGGGACTTCTACAGCCCGTAGTTGCTCAGCACTTCTACAGAGAAACCTAGGTAATGTAGCTTCTTGTTCAGTTCTCCCATCCATTGGTTAACATACACATCTGAAAGCAGCAGAGACAGGTAGCTACCAGGAGCTACTAAGAAATGTAAATGTAGACACCATTTAAAGACTTCAATCCATGCCTTGCACTCAATAGACCAAATCTCTACCTCTAGATATATGGCTGCATTCCACATGCAGGGAGGAAGACCCAAAAGCTTCCTAAGAAAAACAGACTGAACTTTTTCATTTGGGAATGAAATCCCAAAATCCAAATAGGGATGACATAAATAAGTTGGGCCAAGGTCTTTGCTTTGTAAATTTGTATTTCAGAGGGAATATGATGTCCACCTTGGGTAAAGAAGAATTTTAAAATCTGCTGCTGGCTAAAGTTTGCTGATTCAATTGCTTGTCTATATTGTATCTTAGTACTATACAGTGTGGGACCATGAGGATCGATGTTACAGAAATGAAGAGTCAAATCATTTAAAAATAAATTAAAAAGAAAAGGGGCCAAAATGCAACTGTGTCTAAGTCCCCTTAGGTGCAATAGCGATTCTCTGCATTTTCATTCCCAGATTCTTTTTTCATGTGTTTTCATTCAGGAAAAAAATAATGTACAAAAACTTGTAGAAATACATGGTTTACTCATGTATTATTACAATGCTGTAAAAGGAACATGCTCAATTCATCATATTTTTAATGATGCAAGCTGCAGCATGTATCATATTTGCGAATTCAAGTGGCACATTAATTTGCAAGAAAAGATGCAAATCTGATGGGACACATACTAGGAGATGCAAAAACATACATCTTCCAATGTGATCAAACCAGTACTTGGTTCTAGAGATGGTATCAAGTCAGATTTTAACACTATCTCCAGTTAAGATTAGTTACCAAATTTGTTTAATTGTAAAGCACTAATAATTGTGGGAGATTCACAACAATGTGAGAAAACAAGTTTTTCTACTCTGTAAACAGAATGTACATGTTTTTGTACAGGTAAAAACACTTGAAATTTGGTATTGGTGAGAAAAATCACCAAAAGAAAATATTTTCCAAAGGTGTGGCAGCCTGTGCTTGTATTAACCTTAAAGAAAACTGCAGCATATCTGGTTGTCCAACTGGATGGATATTAGAAAAGTATGGAATATAAAATAAAGCTAACAATGAACTATGAGTTAATGTCTACTCCACTTTACAGGCTGCTAGAATAGCTAAAAATTCTAGAAAAACTTGATATTCTGATTTGGAATTCTGTAATCTAAATGTTTCTAAATGGCTTATCCCAAGCATATTATATGAAGGTATAGCTGTGTAAAACATATAACTTTCCTAAAATGGAAAGACTGTCCATTGACGGCATGTGTATGTAGCAGGCCTGCCTTCACCAAATTTTCTATTTCTCCTGTCCTCTAACAGAGAAATAATTAGCAAATAGTTCTGTGCTTAAGGCCAGCTCAACCGCTCTTCTGCATTTTTGCTACCCCCCCTCCCGCCCCCCAATATAAGCCAGCTACAAGTCTGGAGAGAATGCAAGACATGTAACTGCCTGTACACAAAAGAAAACAGAAGTGGCTGTTGTGCGTCTAGTGCTTTCCTCTTTCCATGTTTCTTAACCTCAAGAGATTCTGTGTGTGTCTACCAGCATTACTAGCACTACCAGCAACCAATGGTGAAAAGTCAGGAAAACGTAGAACATCATAGCAGTGGGACAGCAGTAATGCCTACTAGACATTAGGAAATGGTAGCTTGTTGTGGAATTGCCACTCGATGTTTAATGGCCTGTCTGGTTTGGCCCAAGGGGTGATTCCCACATTACTGTGAGATGTAGCTATCATGACTGTATCACTAAAGCGTTCTCCTGTTTAAACCTCTAGAGGTATGTAAAACAAACAAAGACTTCTCCTTAAGGTCTTAGCTAAACTTCTCAAAAACACACCATACTTCTGTGCTTGACATGTCACTAGGATAACTTGGAAACCAATGAGCATTTTCAGCACTGGTGTAGTGCTTCTATAATATTGGACTTGCACCCCTAATAGGAGGGAAATAGCTTTGACTATCTCAGCACTTCAGACTCTGTGAAGGGTTCCGTGTGTTTTACAACTATGCAAGAGAGGCTAGCAGGTAAATGCCAAAGAGAAGCCTCAGAGAAAATGCATAAATCATCATTCTTGGCACACTCCGTTCTTGGATGGGAATAGTTTTATGACAAATTGCCCTGAAACAGATCTCCTGAGTCATTCTGTCATCAAACAGACATGTGAGTTCCTCCTGAATTGTGCTGTGTCCAAATAATGTGTCTTCTGGTGACTGGAAAGTGCAGGAGCTGCATGAAAATATTCATCAATAGCCAGTTGTTTGAGGTATAACTGGCTATTAACTGAAAGTTGCTGTGGTGTCTAGTTTGCTGAACCTGCTCCCGTCTCCCCAGAAATTTAAGAGGCAGACCACATGTGACATTAATTCCCTTTGAGTGTATGATTTCTGTTTTAGAAACAGCCAGTGCAGGGGACAAATTCAGATCAGGATCTAAAAAAGCAGGGGAACTAAGCCTGTGGGGAGTTTCCTCTCTTGTCCCAGATCAGAGAAGTCTGCAAAAAATAAAAACCCCACACAACCCTGCAAGGAAGTTGAACAGACTGATCACCTGCATGATTTTTCATAGACTGGAGAGCTGTGAATAGGTTTCCAGTGTTTTGCACTTTTACTGGAAAGCAGCATTTAAGGCAACAATTGGGACCAGTGGAATAGCAGAGAAGGTGAGGGTTCGTAATCCTTTCCCTTTCTGCCATTTGTCTGCTCAGAATTGTTCTCTCTTGTATGATCCTGAGAACCTTCTTTTATTATGCCGTTCGACATAAGCGAGCGATTTCTGCCTTTGTCCAACCCTCTATGGGCTTGAGAAGAACACTTCCTTTGCAAAGGGTGAAGAAGCTGAACTGTCAAACTTTGTTTCCCTTTAAAAAGGAATGAAAGGAGAACGGAGATATTGATAGAGTCATATTGTTTTGGTCACGTGAAGAATGTCAATGCCTCTTAAATCCATTTTCAAAAGCATTTTCATTCATTGTAATAGGAATATGAGGGCCCAAGTGGTTAAAAATGGCATTTAAACAAATACAATTGCAAAAGAAAATGTTGTAGGCCATTCATTCATGACAAGCACTAGTTGGTTGCAATCTTTGACCAGTTTCACTGATAATAAATACATTTATGATTGAGTCAGTTAAATTGGTTTCAGCTTTGTTGTTTGTTTTTGCCTGCTTTGCCATAGTAAAGCCCAGCTGGTAGACCAATGATTATATAACAAACTTTCTGTGTTTTCTGTGAATTCAGTATTTCAAACTTTACTGTATTGTACATGATGCTTACAGTGCTATCAACATCTTCAGGCAAACCAGTTTTATCACCGAAAAAGGCTTTTTTCAGTGGTAATGGACTTGTTCATTCAGGCATTCATTCTCTGGTTCCAACAGAAGCAAGTTGGAAAGGTATACTTAATATTTTGGCTTTGGCACTGTATAGTGCCTTGTGTGGCAGATACTAGGGCTGAGGAGTGGCAGTGAAGGGTAGAGGGCTGTGCTGTGTGTTTCACACAGCCTGTTTGCACCCACTAAGCTGGCCTTCTGCTCTCAGGCATGGTGGAGGATGTTTTTTCCATAGCCAGTGCTGAATTTGTCCAAATAGCAAATAGTTTTGAAGCAAAATGAAATTAAGTAGAAGGAAGAATTAATGTTTTGTTAATAGTTATAAGACAATTGAATTTTGAAACTATGTCTGTGGCTTTTACAAAGTACTAGTAAATTTCATGTAGAAAACTACAGTCTTCAGGAGGAACTACCTAAACTAAAGCCCTGCTTTAGTTCATTACAAGGATAAGCCTCCTCGCTTCATTATTCTGAACTTGTTTCCTTTGGTTTAGCACAGTTTTCCCAGGAGACTGCATCCATTTTGAAGTATCTATCCCTAAATAAACCCCAAAAGTACTCGACAATTCAATTAACATTGCTCTGCTTTAGAAGGAAATCTCTTTTCTATACAATTGCTGATGGAACTCTGAATGTTAATAAAGCCAATAAGAAGATTTTTTTAAAGTTCAGCATTTGAGAACTTTGACTCCTTCTCCATTGCCTCTACACTGTAATTTCTTAAAATATCTAGTAGTTCTTTGAAAAGTTAGGAAATCTGGCTAAAAGGAAAAAGCAATTCCTTAAAATGTAGAATTTCTATTTTAGGATGTCATAATATCATATGAAGATCAGTGTTTACTGGTTTTGATGTCACTGTAAACTGTGCTCTACATTAATAAGTCTCTATTTTTGGTGTGTACATTTTCTAGCCGCAGATCTGGCCAATATACAATGAACCATGACAACTCTAAGAAGTCCTCAGGGAAGCCCCTTTTGGATCATTCAGATTCTCAAGATTCACTCGATGAATTATCAATGAATGACTACTGGAAAGAGCTTGAAATCATCAATGAAACCAGAAGCGATAATAATGAAGAACAGGAAGCAGTTGTAGTAAAGGAGCCAGATGGTAATCAAAATTAGACTTAAACTTGTTTCTCTGATTAAGTTTTGAAGCTTCAGCTTTAAACACTTCCATTCTTGCATTCATATGATGAGTACAGACAAACTTACATTCTCTCTGGATCTGCAGATACTTTCATCTCAAGCTCCTGGGAAAGATAACTTTATTTATAATAAAACATGTTTCAAGCCCTGATATCTCTAGGGATCTTTTTCATCTATTGAGTTGAAGACACATGTCTTTCAAATTTCTCAGAAGGGAACTTTAAAGCAACCCCTGAAGAAGGCATGTAAAAATCTTAGAGCTGGGATTTATTATAAGTAAGCAGTCTTTTCTAGCATCTTGAGGTACATTTGCTCTTTGGATTGGTATTTGATACCAGTTACTAGTACTGATTTAAGACTGAGGTCAGTTGGAATTGGCTAGTATATCTGTAAAACTGCCATCCAGTGACTGTGTACTGGCAATAATTTTCAAAGACTTGAAACTGCTATTGTAGAACTCTCACTGGCTGGAGAGGAAAAAAAATTTCCCCTTGTGTGCAGTGGTGTCCACACACAACACACAACAAATTCATGAAACTCATTGCTGAAAAATGTGCTGACATTCACTAGCTTAAGACTAAATGAAGTGTTCTGTTTTTTCCTTACTTGTGTAAGAGATTTCATTGCAGATTTTTGTAGGGATTTAAAGTTTGGGTGAACAGAGAAAACGATGCAGCAAAATAAAAGCAATGGGCATGAAAACCTGTATCCCTGACCTTTAACCAGAAGAAGGGCAGCAAAACATGTATCCTAGCACCTTCATCTCTGTAGCCGTTCATCAACTGTTGTACCCATAGTAAATGTTTATTTTTCTGACATTTTGGGTCTCTGGCCAAGAATGGTTTTAATCCATCCATTGGACATGCACATGGTAGACATGTCATGAGTGGAGCTGGCTGGAGCCAGGGGTCTGACAAGATGGCATGGGATGCCCCTTCTGACTTGCTATGTTTCTAATCCATATTTTAAAATCCTTTGAGCCTATTTCCATTATATTTGGTAATGTTCCACAATAATGTCATTTGTGAATTCTAGTTGAAATGCCTATGGAAAAAGTTGCAAAAAGAGTGGATAGGTTTCCTTATAGTGAACTCAAGAGGAAGATCTCATTCTTCAATTTAAATATACACCACAATACATCTATTCATTGTGAACAAAGGAATGTATGTATTAATTACACATGATAACACATTAGGCATTTGATGTATAATCTAGTTCTGATCAAATGCATTTCTATAGATGATGTGTTCCATTCCATCATGTGACTTTGAGACTGTTCTTTATTAAGAATTGGTTTTCATACAAGAAAAAGTTGAAAGATTTCAGTAGTGAAACACTTGAATAAAATATTCTAAAATGCTGCAACCTGAATGCTAAAATACTACAGTTGCTAACAAAAAGCTGAATTTAACCTGGACAAAATACTGCATTCCTTTCAATGAAAGTGCAAAAGAAAGGCATAAGTAGTTCTGCAAATATATGGTCATAATACTGTAAAAACAATTCTGATTTGTCTTTTTAAAATGTCAAAATTTTATTGGAAAAACCTCTGACTCTCTGGAGGTGTATGCTAATAATACAAAAATGGTAATTCCTTAGCTTGTGTCCATTTATGTATATGCTTCTGTTAGAGCTAGACTGTCCACTTGAATTTTTAATAGCATTTTAGACAAAACAATAATACTAATCTTAGAAAGATGTAAAATTTCTTACAAAGTGCTTTAAATGTTAATGTCATTTCTCTTGAATCTGAACACCTCTGCATTCTTTGCTCTTATGTAAAAGTAGTATGAATCATTTTTTGTGATAAAGATACACAGAACAATAAACAGTAGTCCTAGTTATATCCACATACAGCAAATGACTTAGCTTTTACCTGCAGGGACACTTTTCCAACTAGAAACAATAAAAACACAAACCTTTGCCAGGAGGCACTAAGGAATAGAGAAAGTATAATAAGCAAGACAATTGAATGCTGCAATACTATCACCCATTTGCAGTAAGATCATCCATCAGCCTTGATAATCACTGATTATGTTAAACTAATCAAAAGTTGCACTAAGAAAACAATATGCTACCATCTCCAACTAGGAAGCAAGGAATAAGGGCAAATATAAAGCCAGCAAAAGTAGAATATAAATCTACTGAATATAGCAATCATATATAAATGTTTACTTATGCTGGGATTATGATACAGGACATTGCCATTTCTGATAGCAAACAAATGTCTGCAAGTCCTACATTACAGGGAAGCCGGAGTGGAAGAGAGACAATGAGGATTTTTTGGGTTTTTATCCATCCTATACTTTCCCACAGAAGTTCATGGTTGCATGGTTAAAGTTATGCACTCTTTTGTGTGTTCTTCCCTTTCTTTGTGAGCTTGGAAGTTTCCAGCAGTTTGTAGTAAAACCATAGTTTACTGCATTCAGACACAACAACAAATGATGTCTTGTGCAAACTAGAAACTTCAGATCTCTTTTCCTCACTGATAGCAGGACTAGATGAGGAAAATAGAACATCTAGGTGAACTTGATGTTCACAGCTCCCCATGCACATAATTCCAAATCATGGCTGCCATCATGTATGAATGCAGCTAATCACTGCTTGTTAGTGGAGGGGTTTGTGTTGCTGCAATAAAGGACAGTAAATTGGGAGCAAAACATCTTCCACTAGCATCGCCAAGTTTCTGGAGCTGTGAGTAGATATTTCACCAGTTTTTTAAAATCACAGCTAATAACCTTTCACTTTCTCCCATTTGAGTCAATGTGTCTTTGTAAAGAGGCTGCAATCGGGGCCCTAGTCAAGGTTAGGCAAAACCTCATCCCTCCAGGCACTGATTTTAGCTGTACTTCAATTTGCATCTGCAGTTACAGTCCCCTTGCTTTGCCCTATGCAAGTCAATCAGTACTATTTATATCTTCCTTTTAAAAATGTATGTAATGGTCACAGTTAATATTAGCAATATCTTTAATATAAATCCCTCTTATTTCTTCTTCCGTGTGGGCCAGAGGGAGAACTGGAAGAAGAATGGTTAAAGGAAGCAGGCTTGTCAAACCTCTTTGGTGATACTGCTGGAGACTCTCAGGAAAGCATTGTGGTTTTGACTACCCTGACCCGTACACAGGCGGCAGCAGTACAGAAGCGAGTAGAGACTGTCACACAGACTATGAGGAAGAAAAACAAACAGTATCAAGTTCCTGATGTGAGAGATATCTTCAAGCAACAAAATGAGTCAAATGAAAAAGTAAGTTCCTGGTTTGTCCTTACTTAAAGAGCTGTTTACTAAATTAGGTAATAGAAATAAATGAGAAATAAAGTACTGTCTTCTACAAGAATTTCATCAAAAGGCATTTCCTAAAGGCTGCTTTATATAGTACTTGGTGCCTTGGGAATTCTGAAATAATACAGTATTTAAATTGTCTAGGATAAAGCAGAAGTAGTTTTGTCTAGGAAACAACCTGATTGTGCTCCTTGGCCTTCAACTGAAACAGGTATCCTTTTCAGGTGGAGTGGGAGTGGGGTGGCTGTGCAGTAGGCTGGCTAACCATTTTCCTAATTTGAACATCCATTTCTGCATGACTCTTTAAAAATGAGCTGGGGTGTGCTGCCATGTTGACTTTCTGAATCTCACATTGCTGGATTGATTATTAGGGAAATGTTCTACTGTGAGACACTTTGCAGTTATTGCATGCCTTCAGTAGGCCTGAAAATGGAGTGATCTTACATAGATCACTGTTTGCCTCAGCATCCCCCCCCATATGTAAACGTAGAACACGTGAAGTGTACAGTTTCCATTCTTGTGATAGTCATGCTTCCTTCCTTAATGTATACAAGAAACACATATGGGAGCATCAAATGCTACTGAATTGGTCCAGACATAATATGCTCTCGGTTGTTGTAGAATGGATGCTGAAATCTGACTGAAGGTAGATGTGAGCAGAAAAGAAATGTCCAGATGCTTTTGACCAACTCGCAGCATTCCTGACCATTGTCCAGGCTGGAAGCCATCAGGGAATTGCTCCATCTGGAGATACATCTGGAGAACTACCTTTTGCCCGCTCTAATTTAAGATATACCTTCCTCACAGCCTTTCAGAGGGTTCAGACTCATACAATATAAATCCAAAGATGTGCTTGCTTGGGGCAACCATGTTTTAGGGTGACAAAATGACCCTGCTCATGTAATTTAACATCCCAGATTAACACAACCAGCACAGTGTGTTCTTATGTTTTCCAAACCCAGACCACTTCCTGAAGGGTGCTTGTTCATGCCAAGCAAGCTATCCTGAGGACCCATGGGTTATTCTAGGGTTTGTTTTACTCATGTTGGCTTGTCATGTTTTTTGAACACGGGTGATGAATCTCACCATTTGTAAAGCAGAATGGCAAGCAAGGTACTTGATAGGAGCTGCTGCTGCTGCTGCTGCTGCTGCTGCTGCTGCTGCTGCTATTATTATTATTATTATTATTATTATTATTATTATTATTATTATTATTATTTTGGTGATATCATCTGTTCCACTTCCAAGGACAGCCCCTTTAAGTGGCACAGGGAAGGGCAAGTCACTAGCTGCCACCCCTTTAAAAATACTGTGCTCCAAATGTGTGTAATTTAGTGCATGTGTATTTTAAAATTCTAGTCGGGCTTGCACAAGTGCAGAGGTGTGCACTTCCATAGGCGTGAAATAGGAAGTCTCACCTGAACAGTATCCTGAGGGGTGGCTGTTAAAAAAGTGCAACTGGTCCCAATCCTGCAAGTTGGCTCAGAGGGGCACCGGACAGAGGCTTTTCACTTGGCTTTCCCTGACAGCTGTTAAAAGATAAGGCATCAGCAGAAAGCAAATATGCAAGTGAACTTTCCTCACAAAAGAATACAGGCACTTCTCCCTCTCTCTTTTCTGTGAGATCTTCAGAGACTTCAATGTATTCTCTCCAAATAGGTCACAGTGCTCCCATTTTTTCTAGCTGTTCCTGAGACTCTAGGTGCTTAGGAAGCTGCAAAAATGCACCCGTTCCTTTTTTGCTTACACTTCTGACTACTGTCAGAAATAGGGCTTTTTTGAAAGCAGGAATTTAGGTGGAACAAAACAGGGTAACTTGGACAGGGATGTATACAGATTCTATATGATATTATATGTCCAAACACATTTTTGACTGGGCAATGGATGTTTCTTGAAAGGGGCATAATGGCTGTATATGCTCTTAGCACTGTTGTCATGTCAAAATCCTGTTTTAAAGGGTACCCAGAATTTTGACATCTGGCCATTTTTTTCCTGATTCCTTCATAAATGATTGGAAGTTCCTCCAGATCAAAATTGGAAAGAGCTCCATAATTATGCAAGACTCAGAAAAATGCCCTGCTCCCAAAGTTTTGCAGGGTCATTGCTTTGAGGAGCCAACTTTCTTGGTTAGGTTTTGTACCCAGGCCCTGTTTTACTTGGGGCATCTCTTCAAGGGTGGACTAATTTGGAAGCTTTCTCCACCATGAATCATAACCCAAACTGGAGAGAAGAATCCTGTGTTCCTAATAGTCAGCACTCCATTTGAGCCAACTCAGCAATTCTAGAACCTCATTGCTGGGCCTGAACACTGCAGACCTCACAGGAATTCCCTACTAACATCAACTAAAAAGTGTAGCACATACTTTAAACAGGGATTCTGGGATCACTTCAGCCTATCAAGTTCTATGTCCTCCTTTTCCCTGGAAGTCTTGTTCTTAGATCTTCCCAATATTTTCTATAAAAATTATAATTTTATCCAAAAAGTATCCGTAAAAGTAAGAAAACTGGCCTACCTAAAACTGGCTTACCTAGGATGAATAAATGCTTTGAACACTATTTCTTTTTATAATATTCTGAAATACAGCACGCCTAAGTACACTAGCGTTATAGCCCTGGCTCTTGTTCCGGCATTTCATCTTCTATCATGTGCCCTGAATTATTGGGAAGCATGAATTTCAAGCTTGTTTGTGTACTTACTGGGTGTTCACATGCAGTGACTTAAAATGGCACCTGGTTAATATTTCCAGTTTCTGAAATAGTAAATGAACATAGTCTGGCCCTCACACACTGATGACCATCTGGCAGACAGTATGAACTGTTCTAGCTCTCCCACACCCCAGATGTAGAACTAGGGAACTCAGTATGATTTCTTCCTGGATGCTCCCATGAATCTGCACCTTTTAAACAATCGCTATAGTATACTTCCCTGCACTGGTGTGAAGATCTGAGATGTGGCCCCAGCTCTATGCTTGACAGAAGCATAATTTAGATACTATGTGAAGTTACTTTTGTGGGTTGCCAAAAATACACTATGCCATCAAGATGACTTGAATGATGTAATAATCTGTTTCTTTACACATTATAATTAGTGCAGCTTTCTAAGAGGGAACAGATGTAATAACATTGCTTGCTGGAAGGTGGAGAGTTAAACTACAATTACTGGCCATCCCACAGGCTTTCTCAGGATAGGTAGTGATTGCACTGTCCCCATTTTACTTAAGGCCAGAATACAGTACTGGCTTAACTGGGAGCAAGCCCCATTGAAGACAGTGGAGCTTAACTGCAAAAGTAGACATGCATAAATTGTGCTGCTAGTTTGTTTTTGATTGTGTTCCCTTAATTCTGATGGGCTACCTTACATCAGGCATAGAGTTGACAATGCATAGTGTTAATTTCAATACAGGACTTCAATATGGAAATAGTAACTTTGTAACATCAGTACTCAAATCAAATGGGGGCAAAGCCATTTCCCTATTTTTTGTTTTATTTATGTATTTCATTTTTATATCACCTGTAGCTGAAGCTCTCTGGGTGGTATACAACAAAATATAAAAACAAGAAAATACAATAGATAAAAACAGTAAAAATTAAATATTAATTTAAAATAGCATAAAACAACATTAAAAGACCTGCTCAAGAGTAAAAGTTACCTGGCTAATTGTATCAGTCCCCTGAATGACCAAGGAGGTATTTAAAGGACTTTGCAAAGAGGGCTGGCTTAACCTGGTGCCAAAAAGAGGGTATATTTAGCTCCAGGAGGGCTGCAACAGGGAAGTTATTCCCAAGATTCTAAATTCTATGATTTACTTAAGATTTAGATTATGTTCTTTTCTGCATTTTAGAAAACTGTCAATGAACTCCGGCCTGTAAGAACAAAAGAAAACAAGGATGAAACGCAGGAGGAACAAAATGAGGGTATTTGAACAAGCTTTTTTGTATCATTTTCTTATTTTTAATGGTCCTAGCGTTATATATTGCAGAACAGATTTATGTGAACAAATCAAAAATGCTTTATGAAAGTTATGTGTGCTAGTTGTTGTAACATCTCTAAAAATGTCTGAGGCATTTCCCAGGGATGAGAACTTCAGACCTGTGGGCCAAATGAAGCGCTCCTGGCTTCCCAGTATAGCCCTCCAATATTCCCAGTTAGCCACATCTTTCGTCTTCTACCACAAATTCTTTGTGGCTTCCCTGCTTTTGCATCATGTATAAAGGTTGAAAGGTCTCTTCTAAGGCTTCATTACTGGCTCCTTAATTGCTAAAATATGAGGCATTGTGAGTGTCTTGGATTCTACCCTCTTTTGACTTTGGCCCTGCCCACTTCTGAGAATTTTTCTGAAATTGATTTTACTCTTAGGATCAAAAAAGATCTCCATTTCTCTACCTTATCCATGGATTTTCTTACATGAACTGTTCAAGACAAATTACTACATAACAGCTTTTTCATTACTGTGTCAAAGATGACTGCTAAAAATATCTCAGTACTGAATGTGTAGCAATTACATTTCCCATGTTCTATGAAGATTCCTCATGTAATTTTTCAATCTGGTGAATTAAGAATTTATCTGGATAAAATTGGCATTTAAAAATACAAAATAATATTTGGAGTAGAACCCCAGCTATTCAGGTCATACTTGCTGTACATATCTGACCTCGCTTTGTCATTGCAATCATGCAGTGCTTGATCAGAGTGAACAAGAGTCAGTGGTTCCCTACCAGGGTCTGTTGCAAGCACTTTTGCCAATTGTGGTAGCACTGCTATTGCTGCACAGCTGGTGGGGCATATAATCTTGGAGCCCTGACCCGAGTCGCCAGAGCTGAGGAGTACTATTGGAACTGCTACTGCTGAAAACCCCGAAGAGCTGTGAACCAGCTCTTTGAAAACAAAAATGCAGAACAACAAACCATGGACTGGAGAAGGGAAAGAGGGAAATAAATGAAAGTGCCACTTGTTTTTTCAAGGTTGAAATGATGGGGATATTTAATTACATCAATTTAAAATGCCAACCATGTGTATGAAATGAAGAGTAATTATTCAGAATGGATGATATGTTTGGCCATTTGTCATTGTCTAAAAGAACGACAATGTAATGAGTAGTATTTAATAAGAAAGCAATGAATGAGGAGTTTCCCATGGGGCTTTTTGCTAAAATATAGGAAGAGGACATAATTGCAGTCCTGACTGTACACAATATCATCCCTTAAATGTGAGCAGACTGCACTAAGAGAAGAGTATAGTTACTTCTCATTCACCATATTTCATTCTGAGCTTTTTTGTGCTTTCAGCATCCTAATGGAGTTCTAGCAGCTCGTTTATGATAAAGCATTCATTTAAAGATATTGCCTGGGTCATTTTTTCTCTTTGAAATAAACTAGTTTTAGGTAGCATTTATATATCAGCTAGATGTTAGCAGTTTTTGTAAGAAAATCACTTGGAGTTAAATGCAATCTAGCCAAAAGATCTAACAATTTTTGGGAGGAAGAGGGGTGATAACTGGTGTCAATTTCAACAGACATAAGTATTCAATGAGCTAACTTGGAAGTCCATTGGTCTTTGAAAATATGGATATGTCTAAACCGAGGTTGTGCATATGAGTCAACTCATTTTAAGCTATATTTTCCAATATCTATAAAAGGATACATAACATGAGCCAATGGAATGTTTTCACCGGGCTGTTTAACTAGCTTTGTGAGTCCAGGTGGTTACATGGTAAATTGAAAATGGATAATTATGGTTATCAGAATGCAGCTGCTCAGCATGTAAATCTTTGTTGATGGAACTGCACTGGCTCCCTATTAGCTACCAGGTCAGATTGCAGGTTCCGTTACTGGAATGTAAAGGCTTAAACAGCTTGAAACCAGGATTCTTGAGAGTATCTCTGATCAACCTGCCTAGCCATTCAGGGCATCAGATGAGGTACTCCTTGTTGTTGTGTATAGCTTTATGGTTCAGCTGGAACTGTCCTGGAGTTCAGCCTTCAGCATGGTGGTTCCCTATCTATGGACATTTCTGCCTCTAGATATTTGGCAGACACCAACATTATGTTGTTTCCTTCTGAGTGCATTTTATTTCAACAAGACTTCCCTGATGGCCCAGCCATGTTTTTTAATATTAGTCACTTTTTAAAATTAATAATGTCCGTAATTCTAGAACTGTTAATACAGTGTTTTATTCTTTTAAACTTTTATTATTGACTGATCTGGAATTTGTTTAGATATGAAGCACTATTTAAATATTATAATAAATAGAATAGCCAATAACTGTCTGCCAGCAGAATTGTTTACCCTTCCCCATTTAGCCCTGTGCATTTCCTTTCCAGTCAGTTTTGAAGGATTAGGTTAGTGGGGTGCAAGGGGAGAGAGGACAAAACCCCATTTTCTGAGCAGAAGTCTGCTCACATGACTTTGGAAGGGGCCCACTAATTCCAAGTGTGCTAAGTTTACTCAATTGGGAAACCAAAGTAGGGTTTGTTCCCTTTCATATTTTGGGAACATGTGTTTTGAAGCATGCAGAGGCAGCCAATTTAACTTCATGTGTACAATCCAAGTGTGAGTCAAGGAGACCATAAGACAGGATAAGGAAGCATAGAAAGAAGAAGAATGACTAATTTTAAAACAGGAATTGATATAGTGTGTTCATAGATGCTGATTTATATAAACTTTTAAATAAACCCAGCAAGAGAAAGAGGGGAGTGCCTCCAAAACTGCACAGAAACAGAAACATTCTTTTATGAGCTATGAGAATGACAACTATCATGGGATCTTGTACATGCCAAACATGGCTACTAAGTGCATACTACTAGCGCCAGTTCAACAAACACTAAAATCACTTGCAGTGTAAAGATAATGTCAGCTAAATAAGCTCAGAGGAGCTTCAACAAGCCTTTTCTCTCCTAACTTAAGCCACCAGGCAGTCATTCACTAGTGCGAACAGCTTCAAACATGGGAGAACTGCCAAACTGCTGGGACAGCACAAGGCAGAGAGGGAGATAGAAAAGCAGAGGACTTAAGCCAATAGAGCGTGCTGTAGAATCTTGGCTTGGAAAATTACTAAGAATTTTATAACATCTGGTTCTTCTTTCCAGTGCTTCTTTATGAGCCTTACAGAAACGGGAAGTTCTGAGAGGCAATTTCCATATGCTAAAGCTCCACGGCACTGAATGAAAAGGGCACAGCTAAGGCAGCCTGTGCGCATTCTGATACTGTGCAGCTGTCAGCAATCCGACTGCAGCATGAGGCTCTCCTTCCGGGATGAGAACAGGATAAAAATCTGTCCTTGCAGAACTGTCCAGGCTTGTCTGGGTCTAAGCTGCAGCACCTGTTTCTGGGTTGTGCCAGTCAGTTTTCAAGAATGAAGAACTCATAATCAATTTCAGGTTAACAGAGCATGGTGGATTTTTGTTGTTTTTATTTTGCAGTGACATTGGCTGTCATTTCAGAGACATCAGTAACCCTGGAGTGAAATCCAGAACTAAAAGCATTTCAGTAAAAGCTGGAAGTGTGTTTACTGCTTAGATTGATATGCCTAAATATGATGCAAAATAATCTCTGATAATGTGCTGCTAGTTGGCCTTTAGAGAAAAGTCTAAAGTTAAAATCATGGTCAGACAAGACCTTAATTAGGATCAACTAAAATGTTAGAAAATAGAAGGCAAGTTCTTGACTTTTTCCACTGCCTGCCCTCACTGAATGAAGTTTGGTGGGTGACTACACAAGAGACGTCTTTTTCAGTTTTGACACACTCTTTATAGATGTCCTCCCAGAGAAGACTTGTTTGTCTGGTACCAGGGAAATACATTTCTATTTCCTCTTGCATTTTAGATTCTGTTTTTCATACAGCTTAGATATGGAATGCTTAAGTGTTGAGATCTGTTGAAATGGCTGCTTTTATATGTTACATTTTTTCCTTCTGTGTTGATAGTTATTTTAGGTAGATGGGTTGTGTTTTTATTCTTTCAGTGGTACGTAATGATGCAAGAAACTCTTGTTATTTGGTAAACTAAAAATTATACTGAATAAATACATTCTTTAGCACTTTTCATTAGTCTGGATATTAAACAAGCAGGGCATCTTTTTCATTAGATGTGATAGTATCTTTGTTGAATTAGGAATGTAATAATGACAGTTTACATGTTTACATGCGTGTTGAAAAAGCAAGCACAAGGTCATGTTACATTTTTGTTTAAATGTCATTAAACAGTAAGATGATCAGTGGAAAGAGAAAAGATTGCAGAAAAGTGCAAATTTTTCATAATATGGCTGCTGTTAGTCTAAATTGGTTTCATCCTCATATAAATATGTCAGTGAATTATGGTAGATCCCTAAATATAAGGAAGGTGCAGCTTCTAATGCCATATTTATTGTTTATTCATTACTATATCACACAATTGTTGGGTTTTTTTGTAAAATATCATATATTTCTGTTTAGTTTGTACCCATGGAATACCATAGCCACATTATATAAGAGAAAATACTGCATGTCTTATGTTGAGTGTATATCTTTCAGAAATTGTAGTCACATACAATACAAACTGCTGGGAGGGGGCAGTTTTGAGATTTCTTGAATCATATTTAAGCATATATTGGTCATAATGTATGAAACCTCGGTCTATATGTGCAGCAGCAGAATGGATTGGTAGAATAGTTTTTCTACTTCAGCTGAGCAATACTAATTTTGAATGTTCTTCCCATCTTAATGTATAAACAACCAGCAAACTCCATGCAAATACTAAACTACCTCAACAGGGAGGAAAGTAAAAAGACCTAGACTGGAACCCCATATTAGGAGTTTTCCACTGCAAGGAATTCTTTGTATAGGATACTTTATCAAAAATGGTATCTTCCACTGGCAGTTTGATGTTTTGTGATCAGTTCCATTACTTCATTCTGCTTGAAATGATGCTATGGAGGGAAAAAGGAAAAGTTGGTATCATGACAGAAAAGTTTTAAACTCTGAAATGTATTGTCAAAATGGGCAAAGTTATGAGAGCCAGTGTGGTATTGTGATTAAGAGTACAGGACTAGGCATCAGGAGATCTGGGTGCTAGTCCCCACTCAGCCGTGGAGCTCACTGGGCAGCTTTGGGTACCACAGACTGATAAGATTGAGAGGAGAAGGAGAATTATGTAAACAGCCTTGAATTCCTTAAGAGGGAAAAAGGGGATATACATTAAATAAATAAATAAAATATGTGAATTGATAGGCCCAAGTTCACCAGAAGAACTTTCCCCTCATTATTACTGGCTGTACTCATTGGGTTTGATCCAGAGCACTCCTTCTGTTCATACAAGAGGGCTATAACCAAGCAGAAACAAATAAAGAATCAGGAAACTAATTAAGAAACTAATAAAGAACCAGGAAACCATTTTTGCTTATTTTCTTTTTCTCCCTGGAGTATCTTCCACCACCTCCTAAACTGTTTTGGAGCAGATTCATTGGAGGCCTAATCTGGAGTTCTAGATTGAGTCTATAATGAATTACTAACATGACAACAACAAACTTTTGAGGAAGTGTTGGTAAGTTATTGATCTCCATAAATGACAAATGAAGAGGAAAAATCTAAGATTAGTGTCTGTTTTTTTCTTCTCCTGTTCCGTCATATCTAGCTCTTCACCAACATACTGGTGACATCATCCCAAGAGAGGATGTGCCCATGACCGAAATGGACATCAATTTGGAAGTATCATTTTCTGAACAAGCAGCTGGTCTCAAAGATGACCCATCAGGCATGGTGCCAAAGGGCAAAGATGATGACACACTCCTTCCTGTAGGTGTCATTTTTTTCTTGTTCTAACATATTCAGTTTGGCAGTTTTTATCTGTCCTTGTCCTACTCTCCAAAACTATATTTTACAGCTTTGAGTTAAAATATATTGAGAATGATTTGTTGTATTCTTTATCTTTTTGCTCCCTGTTCTACATGGCAACCTTTCAGTTATTTGAAGACTGCTATCATGTCTTCCCTTAAGCTTCTCTTTTCCATACTAAATATAACCAGCTCTTTTAATCTTTTCTCACAGGACTTGGCTTCCAAATGCCTCGCCATCCTGGTTGCTCTTCTCTATTTATCTCCAACTTGTCAATATCCTCCTTAAAATGGGGCACCCTGTACAGCAGCTATCTATACATGTACAGGTGTCTACTAATGTATGGATGGCAGAGGTGCAGCCAGAAGCCAGAAGCCAAGCCCCAGAGAAAGAGTTTTCACAGGGTGCTGGGGGATGGTAACTAAGCACTCAACAACAAGCAAGATCATATATTCTAAACAATCCGGTGAATCATGCATTGTTCCCTGTAGCATGCAAACCAGGAAGTCTGGCTTGTGTTTTCCCCCAAAACCCAAAGTTGGAGTGTCACTTTTTTGAGGCTCTGGGTTGTTGAGATATGCAAACAAGCCTTCTCCCTTGTAAAGTTAGTTTTCTATGGGCAGAAGCTTCTATTATTACAACCTATTATATCTGAGCAACTACAGAAATCATTTTACCATCTCATTTTCTGTTGCTTTTTATTTTTAAGGCAAGGGTTAGGATTAGGGTTAGGTCATCTTCTAGGAAATAGAATAATTTCAATTGATTGCAAACAGTATTATCAGCAATATTGTTCAAGTTTTGGTCTGTGACTTGCTTAATAAAGATACATGAAGCTGTTTATACAGATACATTTTGACAAGGCATTACATTTTTATACAGGCTAGATTTATCTTACATGCTTTCTGGATATACACTCCCAGAGTTCATTAGGTTACTTTAAAAAGTCTTAGCTCAGTTGCATCTCATTTGTCATTTAACTATATGCAAGTTATTAGTCTTTACTGAAGTCGTGTTTTTTGTATGAAGCTGGAGGATGGGTATGTGTGAAAAGCAAGATGAGAAAAATTTCTAACCAGAAATGCTTGATGTGAATTTGTTATGACTAAAGGGAGACAATGTTCCTAATAATATGTACTTCCTAATAATATGCATAACAGATCTGTTATGTTTTTATGACTCTATATTTGCCTAATGTCTAATACACCAGCTGACAACCTGGTCAGCTGAATTATAGGGAATGCACATTGAGTTTGAACTTTTCTTTGCCATTTCTGCATTGCTGAAATTAGGATTTTCTGCTTTTATCTTGAATTCTTTGATTAGAATTACAGACTGCCAAAAGACAAAACAGGTACAACAAGGGTTGGGGACCTTGCACCTCAGGATATGAAGAAAATTCATGTTTTGGCACTGATTGAACTGACAGCTCTTTTTGACATATTTGGAATTGAGCTTAAGCCACAGAAAGCAATAAAAAATAAAATAAAAGGTGAGTTGCTTTTATTTGCCGTGATGGGTGTGCAATGAGTACTCTTAAGGTCACTTTTTCGTACTGAGTACAATTTTATTTAACCATGAAAAGTGTAAATGTGGAAGAACAATGAAGTAAAATAGTTTGGATGTTTCATTTCCCTTGAGATTGCAGGATTGTGTGTGGGACAAACATGGGATGGTGTTGGACTGTGTTTTCTGGTCTGTCACATCAAGAAATTGGTCATAGAGCACAGTCCTAGTGCATTTGACATCAACAGGAACCTGTTAATTTTATTGCAAAGGGCTATGGAGAATTTCCATCCCAGTTACTAGCAGGCTGGCAAGTTGGTAGGACTGAGTACCAGCCAGGGCCAAGGGAAGCATGTTTACATTCCATTCGTGTCAGTAGCAGTGTTAAGTATACGTTAAGCTCCATTGCTAAAGTCATTGTGACACAAATGCACATTACGCTGGTTTGATTATGCCATATATTTTTTTGATATATTCATGTATAGGTCTGTGCTATGCAGAGAGAATTGAAAGGAGAATTGAAAGGAAATAGGGATATAGAGACTTCTAAGAAGAGGAGTAGATCTTGTTCTCATTGTGCTTTTTGTTTTTGCCATTTTTTCTCTGGGCAGTACTTGACACTGGCAAACTGTTTAGATGACTGTCTTTCAATTCATCTCTTCTGTAGGCTTGTCCTTTACATTTCTATCTTATCCCACCTTCCTTTTGTTTTCATGCTTTCCATTAAATCATTTCTGATGCATATTGCTTTTTTTCTCACTGCTTGCAGTGGCAGTGAAAGAGTAAACTGTTTTAGGATCTCTGAGGAGGTAAGAAACGGAGAACACTGGCTATGGCAGTCCAGAATTAAGCATCTGGGGTGCGCTCTAAAGGCCTGGTGTGTGTTTGTTGTATACCTCTGCTTTAGAGGCCTTAACTGTGAATTCTCAACTAGGAAAGTCCTCTCAACCCTGATTAATTTCTATCTGTGCAAAGCCATAATTTGTTTTCTGGAAGGCCATCTGTAGGAATTGGTCACTGGTCCTTAGGCAAGGTTCAAATAACAATTTAAAATGCCTGGCAGGTTCTCAACAAGATGTTAGTGTATGTTCTGTAACAATGTAAACATGATGTAATTACATGCTACACCAACACTCACTGCAGCTGTATGATGCTTGTGTACAATTTTAATTTTATTTATTTATTTTGACATCCTGTTTTGTTCCAGTTCTCTGACTGAGGATATGATTGCTGCTCTTTTTAGTTTTTAGGATGGCACCCATTTCCTGTTGGAATATTTTCAAAACATAAGATTTAATCCATCTGGATAAGCGTGTGTGTACTACTTTCCCTTTGCCATTGGCTTGTATTTCAGTGTGCATGCATTACTAAATTGAAATTATACCATAGCTTCTTCCTTAGGTAGATACTTACTGTATTTTATTTCAGAATATTATAATTGCCTCTTGAATAGAATTACTGCTTTTATTCCACCATCCTTGTTCAGGCCCAGTATAACCTATTTGCACATCAGTCATCTGAACAGATCTGACAGGGACCACACTGCTGGCCTACCCAAACACCCCTGCCACGAGCATTTATAGACTTTCCCAATGCAGATCCATGTGTGATATACTGAGGCCAGACCATGGGGATGGGGTGTAACTTGCCAGAGCCAGTAGATGAACGCTTAGAACTTGAGGAGGCCCCTTTACACAAGAATGGCATAAAGAGAAAAAATACAGACTTGGAGCCCTGGGGACATTTTGAGGAAAACATTTATTGTTGTTGTTGCTGTTGCTATAAGCAATAGATCAAGTCATTATCCTGTCTAAGAAATTTAAAGCGATATTTGGGGTTGTTTACTTTGAAAATAAAGGATGCAGGCGGCAAAGTGGGTTAAACTGCTGAGCCGCTGGGCTGGTTGATTGAAAGGTCGCCAGTTCAAATCTACACAATGGGGTGAGTTCCTGTTGCTCCATCCCAGCTCCTGCCAACCTTGCAGCTCGAAAGCATGCAAATACAAGTAGATAAAAAGGTACCACCTTGGTGGGTATGTAACAGAATTCTGTGCACTTCAGTGTTAAGTCATGCTGGCCACATGACCACGGAAACTGTCTGTGGACAAATGCTGGCTACCTCGGAGACGGAGATGAGCACCCCCTAGAGTCAGACATGACTGGACTTTACTGTCATGGGGAAACCTTTACCTTTACTTTGAAAATATGTAAGCATATGCATATAATGCATATATACATGAATGCAATAAATATTCTGCATGAGAAAAGATGAAGTACCCAAATTTAATTCAGCTTTTGTTGGAGCAAGTTGATTGCTAAGACTGAAAGAATTTGAAAATGACTGTAAATCCTTGCTACTTAGACTTTAAAAAAATCCCTCTTGGTTTTAGTTAGTTTCAGTTGTATGTTTATATATGGCTATTACATCAGAGGTGATTATAGATTGGGCAGATAAAATATAAAAAATCAGTATCTTGCATGTACTGGTTAAATGTGCCAAACAGCGAAGATATTTGTTTGTTTGTTTGTTTGTCTGTTTGTTTTAGGCATCTTTTATGAGTTTTTTTATCAGCCTGAAACACTGAGCAGCTTTCCACCAAAAATAACACCAAATTAGAAAACCAAAACTGAAGTGAACTCAAAATGGCAGCATTAAAGAGATTAAAAATAGGTTCAGTGTGCAGGAAATGTCACCATTTTGTTATGTGTCTGCATTTCTGACCTTCTCTTTAATGTTTTACAATGACTTGAAATGTGTTGCCGGTCAATCAAATGCCTTCTTGGGCTAAGGCATGCAGTCAGGGTTCAGCAGAGACGGCAGTGCAGTAGCTAAATAATTGAAAGCAACAGTGAGTGATGAGGGAGCGACTGCAGGGTGCAGCTGAGTCCTTTGAATGCAGTTTTCATTCAACAACCCAGAAAATAATTTCTTTCTGGGCAGAACCAGTCACACAATGTTTTAGTAACCATATTTCCTCTTCCACCTACCTTTTTTATATATCTAAAGTTGTGTCAACAGTTATATCTAAAATTGTGTGAACAGTTACGTGTACAATGAGTGGAACCTGTTCCAAATACCCCTTGAATCAGGGAAATATGCAGCTCTGTTTCATTCCTGGATAATAGGACATCTGTAGATTTGTAATAATTTAGGGTTAGTGGGCCCCTTCCATTTTTTCTACTGTACAATATGTTCAGAGGATGCTTTACTCCGCAAAGTCCAATATTAATCAAGTGACACAGGTTATTAAATAGATATAGGAATTATGCATAAGCATTTGTTGAGGGTCCCATGCAAGGTCGTGCCTTCAGTCTTTTTGCAGAAATGTGAGAGGTTCACAAGGAGTTGTAGGGTAGATGAAGAAGCAGCTTGTACCATTGGCAGCTTCTACTACTACAAATGCCTGGAATGTATGTGGGTCATTTGATCTGTTCAAATGCTTACATAGACACAGTCTGCTGGGAGTTGTAGGTCTTTTTTCAAGCTAGAATTGCATAGGATCACACCTATAAATGGTTGATATGGCTGAGAATTTTCCTGGTTAGTTGCTGTGCACACTCCAGCCATTCTGTCACACTGGCCAACTAGCAGAATCTTTCCGTTGGTGCTCTGTTCCAAGGGTTAAATTAGAAATCTTTCATTCTGGTTAGCTCTTGTCTTGTTGAGTCTGCTTGTTTGTTTGTTGAGGTATGAGCAGTGCTGCTTTTTATGAGAGAAATTTATGAGGAAAACAGAGTATAAATATGAGCACAATGGAAAATATTTTTTCTGAAAATGTTTTTATATTACCATGTCATGAAAATTTTCTGTCTCTTTCCTTGCTTTATACAGAATCTGGTCTTTTTGGTGTTCCACTGTCAGTTTTGTTGGAACAAGATCAGAAGAGAGTGCCAGGTATAAAGGTTCCACTTGTTTTTCAAAAAGTAAGTAGACTGACCAGTCTGTTATTGAGCATCTTAGCACATCTTAGGGCAGTAATATGCCTGTCTTCTGCTTAAGTTTGGGGCTTTTTTATTATTTTTTTATTAAAACATTTAAAATAAGTGAATAATATCAACAATTAAAATGATGCTTAAATAAAAAGGTCTTCGCCTGGCACCGAAAAACAAATAACGACGGCGCCAGGCAGACCTCTCTGAGGAGCGCATTCCATAGATTGGGCGCCACCGCAGAGAAAGCCCTCCTCCGAGTACCTACCCTCCTAATTTCTTTCACGGAGGGTTCCCGGAGAAGGGCCTCTCCCGCAGATCTCAAGGGGCGGCCGGGCATATATGGATGTAAGCTTGAAGTTTGGCAGTTAATTCTGCTTCAGTGGAAACTAGGAGACATGAATTTGCCTATTAAAAATAGTTTCAGCTGATCTCTCATCCTTGACCATTTAGACATCCAGGAAGAACTAGTTTTGAAATGCTGAGTTTTAAATTTTGTACTAATCTTTGTACTGTTAATGTTTAGTCATTAAGTTGTGTCTGACCCTTCATGACCCCATGAATATTTGTACTACAACATGGTAATTTTTATACCTTGCATATCACCTGTGGTTTAATTTTTATAAAGGATGTGATCAATTGTTTTCCTTATATACATACAATAAATATACAGAATGCTTCTGTTTCATACCACTCACACTGGGCTGTAACCAGTCATCCATTGGCACAGTCATAAATGATATTGCACTTGAAATTCATGGGCTAATTTTGGGCCAGTCATTCACTCTTCAGCTTAATCTAACTCACAGGGTGGTTGTGAGGATAAAATGGAGGGATAAAAGCAGGACCTAAATGCAATGAAACAATAACAATAGCACCATTTCACCAGCTAATGTGTTGCTTGTTGTGCTAGAAATTCCTTGAGCTAATGCCATGTTGATTCCTTCACCATTAGTGACCAAATGAATACTGACACAGTTGTGGAATAAACCACTATTGTATTCTGAAATTTAGTTCATATAGTTCCTTGTTTGCCTGTTTTCTTGCATACTTGTATAAATCTGAGGATGAAGCATGTCCATCTGAACTATTTACCATTTTTATTTGCAGCTCATTTCTCAGATAGAAGAGGGAAAGCTAGAAACAGAAGGACTTCTTCGCATACCAGGTGTTGCTGCAAGAATAAAGGTATAATCATCTTTTAGCTCTTGGAAGATTATGTTGAGTACATTGCAAACAACTTTTTAAAAAATGATAAAAGTGTGCTTGATGGCAAAGTTGAGTTAAATTAGTTAATGTTTTTCTAAGGTACTTTATTGAAATATTTTGAATGTCTCCTTGGACAATGGAGTGCTGTTTGCGCAAGCACAACAGCAGAGAAGTATGTGGCAGAATCGGGGCTTATAGAATAGATTTCGATTTGTCAAAACATGATTACAATTTCAGATTTTATTTGTTCACAGCTGTGGGCTTTTTATATTTGTCAGTATAGGTGCTTCTTTCTTCATTAGGTTAAGGGCAGGGTGAAGAACAATTACTCTATTCTTCCTGCTTATTGACTTTTCATTACTGTTGAATTGTCTTCTGGCTTGTGGTTAGCCATCTGGGCAAACAAGATTTTGCTGTTACTCCCACTGAGAGCTTTGTATCATTCTCTTAGCTTTACTAAGAGCATATCCCCCTTTTCACTTCAGATCTAATTTAACCATTCTGCCTTTCTACTATGTCTAATAAAAATGTCCATTCCTCCCAAAAAAGTATCTAATAAAGGTTGGCTATACTATTTAAAATTACATACGCACCAAGAGTAACTTTATTGGGAATGCTTGCTTCATAGAAATGTGTGCTTAGCAAAAGGATAAATTGAAATATGAGCCTTTTGAGCTGAAATCTGTAATTCATGTATTACTTTGTGGAGGAGTGGCATATGAATTTGAAGTAAACCATATTTGCCTATAAGGTGTGTAGAAAGGCAATATTTAGCTTATCTATTGAACTATGCTATAATTAAAGGGTAACAAAGACAACATAGCTGTAGTATTTATCTTTGGAGCTAAGGAAGTTGCCTTCCTAAGACAACCAAAAGGGATCAAAGGGATCTCTCAAAGCTGGAAGAACAGGCATCAAAATGGCAAATATAGTTCAATGTAAGCAAGTTTAAAATAATGCTTGTTGGGACAACCATACCAACTTCAAGCATAGACTGATGGGATCTGAGATCATAGTGATCAAGCAAGAAGGGGATCTTGTGGTGGTGGGCAGCTCAATGTAAACATCAACCCAGTGTGAAGCTGCTGTGAAAAAGGCAAACTCCATGTCAGGCATAATTAGGAAAGGAAGTGAAAATAAAACTGCCAAGATTGTATTCCCCTGATACAAATCCTTGATGTGGCTGCATTTACAATATTGTGTCTAGATCTGGTCTCAATACTGATTTAGGAAGAGTGCAGAGAATACCAACTAAAGGGCACAGCTTGCCTATGAGGACAAGTTACAATAACTGGGATTGTTTCGCTTAGAAAAAAAGACAAGGAAGAGGAGACATGATAAAAGTAAAACCATGCATGCTGTGGAGAAGAAAGACATTTTTTCTTCATTTCACATCATACTAGAACCCAGGATTATGAATTCATGACTATCACTCTAACATTTTTAGGGACTTTGTGATATGCTGTTTAATAAGTAATTGGAGAGCATTTCTAGGTCATTTTCACACATGACCTGAGCAAACCTAATATTATTGGGCAGAGTTTTGTTAGAAACTCTTAAGAGAGCAATATAGGAATGGTATTTGCTTTCTTCCTTTATATCTCCTCTCCTCTCCTCTGCCCTGCTCTCCTCTCCTCTCCCTGTAAATGATTTTCTTCACATTGCAAGCAGTGGGAATGAAATAAATTGCACTAGATTCAGGCCTAGTATGTTGGGTGGTGGTTGGAAATGTGTGGAATGGCTTTGGATCACATAGATTAAAAGTTATGCTGATCTGCCCATGCCACCCCCCCCACCCGCTGTGCCCACATTGATGTCAGGAAGCTGAATGCTATAGAAATGTTCACTGCTGTTGGGAGAGCTGATCTCTCTACCCTTGGAGGAGGAGATTCCAAACATTCATATTAATATGCTTTCCTAGGGATCATAGGACTACAGCCTTAGATCACATTTAAACATATTTTATATTCTTAATAAAAGCCATTATAAAAGGAAATATCTATTCTGCCTACATATATGTAGCACAGGTAATGCAGTAACTAATCTTAATATCATATGTCAAAATGTCCTTATAAATTTAGTAGCAAACACTAACTGGGTTCAAACAATGTAACATTCAAGGGTTCAGTGTGATTTGTCATTGAGTTTTGGATTATTGAAAATTAATTGTTTCAACTGCATCGGGTCTGAACTCAACTACAATAACAAAACATGGTTTGTTACCACAAGGAGCCATGAAGAGAATTCATGGTTTGTTGTTAGGTTGTGAACTGCAGGCTGTTTATGATTAACAAACCATGGTTTGTTATTGTGGCTGGTTCAGACATCCCAAATTTCAGCAGCAGAATGTTTTGTAATTTCATTAACTAAGTATAATTAACAGAAGCTCACACAACTTTTTAAATATACGCTTCTTCATCAAACTAAGATAAGATGATATTAAAAATAAGCAAAAATGTTATGTATGTGGTCACCATTATTGGCTGTTTTTGGTCTTGGGCTTCCAGAATCTTTACCAAGAGCTAGAAGCAAAGTTTTATGAAGGAACTTTCAACTGGGAAAATGTAAAGCAGCATGACGCAGCGAGTCTGCTAAAGCTCTTTATCCGGGAACTGCCTCAGCCTCTGCTCACTGTGGAGTATCTCAAGGCTTTCCAGGATGTGCAAAGTAAGCACCATTTCTCCTGCTTCAGAGGTGATCCGTTGTGCAGAGTCACATATTAAGCAAGGATGGGTATTTATTGTAAACGGTTCCAAGATGTTTGTAGGGGACAGGATATAAAGCAAGCAAGCAAACAAACAAACAAACAATAAATAAGATGCCTTGATAGTTCTGGAAAACATTTCCCCTGTCAGTGCATGGCAGGAGAACAAGCAAGCAAAAACTTATCATTTGTACCCAGCCCAGTAGCTGAAGCTCTCCATCCATAGATCCTCCCTATCCAGCCCATGCAAAGATTTCCCTTAGTGGCACAGGGAGAATGAGTGTGTAGTCTTAGATGTTCAAGTAGGCATAGTCTCTGCCAATATAGCTAGGCTACAAAAGAAAATATTAGGCCAATATCTGCTGAATTGTACTGATAGCAGTATTGATGCTGGCTTGAACTGATAGCTTAGAAATTCTGCAGGGACTGGGGGTCCCTGAATTCAGTACCACACATTAATTGGTATGTGCTAATACTAAACGTTTGCTCAACAAAGAACATTGTAGCTCAGTGAATGTCATAGACTGCTTTCCTATTCATATGCATAATTGGCAGTCTCATCAGAGAAGGATTTATCTTCTGTTTATTAAATTTGCTTATATAATGAAGTGAAGTAGCAAAGGAGGACAAATTCATTATCTAAGAAATAATTCTGAAATCCTGTGATATTCCTAACACAAAGTAGAATATCTATAAATCTTTTGTCATGCTTTTGAAACGTGCATAGCATATGAATAGTTCTGGTGATACACTAACCAGTCTGGTGATGTCTTTGAAGGAAATGCAAAATTATTTGAAATTTAATTTTTGCATATTTCACTGATAGAACTTCCAAAAAAGAAGCAGCAGCTGCAAGCACTGAATCTTTTGGTCCTTCTCCTTCCAGAGGTGAACAGAGATACCCTAAAGGTTAGATTCTGAAACATTTTTAAAGAACACCATTATAAATCATCATGGATATCATATTTGATTGTTTGTTTCATTTTTATGCAGTCCGCTTGAATGCAAATTTGTCCTGGTTTGTTGAGATTCCTGCAAAGCCAGCCCACTGCAAACTGCTCTGTTCAACATAATGAGTATATTATAAACTGCTGAGCAGTAAGTTTGCAGTGTTCCCCCCAGCTGATGTTTTGGACTGATCTGATAATGAGGCATGAGGTCTTGTGAATAAAGTTTGAAGGAGTTTCAGTATGTTGAACATGGAGAAAAAACTAGAGAAAGACATGGAGAAAGACTAAAGTACGATGGTAATTTTGAAATAATGGAAGTCTCCCATAGAAGCCATCAAAGGCTTGTTCTCTCCTGCCCCAGAAGGCAGAGCTAGATCTAATGGGATTAAGTTATGGGAGGATAGACTTCAGTTGAATATTAGGAGCATCTTCTTAATGAACCGTTGACCCCTGGAACCAACTTCCTCCAAGGCTGGTAGGCTCTTCCTAGCTAGAAGTCTTTAAGCAGCCACCCATTGAGGATGTCATAGCTCTGTCTAGTTCTGAATTTCTTGCACAAAGCAGAATGCAAAGCAAGATGACCTGGTTGGTCCCACCAACTCTGTGCTATTTTTTCCTTCCCACTGCTTTTCTCCTGTAAAGCTCCCAGCCACAACCACTAATTTGCCTCTGAGAATTAACCTCTTGAGGCTTTCCAGATGTGTGATGTGGTGACTGCTGAACACACAGTTCTTGCAAGAGCAAACTATAAATAAGTAATTTTGGACAATCTGTATATGAGACAGATGTCTAACCTAGTCAACCATATATTCCTGAGAATAAATGGCCACACAAAGTCATCTGTTTTCCTTTTTACTGGAAATAGAAGGAAGCTTGACTTTTGGACAAAGTGCATGTCCAGTTTAACAAGAGAAGTACCAGTGGAATGTACTTTTTGCATGTAGTTTAATCATCTTTTGAAGTGTATCTTCTGTATGATCTTTCACATAACTACTCTTCAAATGCTGTTCTCATTGCCAGGCACTGCTTGAATTTCTTCAAAGGGTAATTGATCATAGAGATGAAAACAAAATGAACCTAAAGAATGTTGCCATGGTTATGACTCCAAACCTCTTCATGTTTCATGGTTTGGGCTACAAGACCATAGAACAAAACGAGTTTGTTATGGCAGCTGGGACGGCAGGTGTCATGGGCTTTATGATTAAATTCCAAAACCTTCTTTGGACTGTAAGTTATTTAGTTTGTTATTGTTTAAATGTTTTTGTTAAAATGTGCATTGTCTTTAAAGAATTGTCTCAGAAGCAAAGGGCCACTCCTTTACTTTCCCGCAATGAATGCAGGGGGCTTGGCTTCTTTCTAAGACGTTGGCATTACATAGAGGTCTGGGGTGTTGGAACAATCCTTTATTTCTCAGCAGGCTTCTCTCTCACCTGCTTTAAATAAAAACAAGTTGAGTGTTGATAAAGGTAGACTTTGTAGGTCATAATATCAATGCTAAATTTAGATAAGATCTTGTTTCTTGTAATTCCAGAAGGTGGATAATGTATTTCTCCACCAGAACATTTACAGAACATGACATCATGTGTATTGAAGAATTATTTAATTCTTCATGGGACTACATAAACCATATTTTTCAATTTTATTTATTTGTATATTGTTCTAAACAATATTCAGTTTTGGGAGATTTTAAAATACACAAATAAAATTAACTACAGTTAGTTCCTGAGTTATAGCCAAGTTCTGTTAGTGAGAATGTCCTTAAGTTGAATTTGTAAGTCGGAGCACATGAGTAAACCAAATGTTTGTCTTAGTATATGTATATGTTTTTCATTTTATGCATATAAAATGCTTAAGAAAGACTTCCATATTCACCAAAACATCCTAAACACCATGCAGCATTGCAATAATGATAATGCTGTGATAATAAAGTAACTACAGCTATTGAAGAGAGAGATAATAAGAGTATGTGTATAGGTATACAGTATTGTAAAAAACAAAAGAAACAGTTCTTAAAACAATTTAGAACATTCTTGAGGTAACATAAAGCCTTACATTAACTGATGATGATGGATATGGACCTGGTGCTGGAGAATCAGGGTTTCATTGTGCTGCCGGGGGCAGTGGGGAGGTTACTACTGGAGTCACTGTCTTGAACTAGGCCTCAAGGGTTGTTTGTACAGGTATTATCTTTCTTTCACCATAAATGGCCTTGTAGCAGCTGAAAGCCTTTTTACAAAGGCAAATGCTGAAGAAAAACCAAAGAGGAACTATGCCCTCTACAAAAGACAGTGGCTTGGATACACTTGAGCTGATGCTTTGAAAGCAAAAGAAAGCACTACAAATACTAACCAAAGGGTCCTAACTAAAAAAATGGAGTGTTCCCTAGAGATACATTGTGTAGTTCTCTCATGACTATCTCTTGGGAACTACGTGACCACTGATGAAGTATCATGTAGTTCCCTAGCAATGTTCATGGCTTTTTGGTAGGTGGATATTCAGTAGAGAGTCATATAGGATTTGTGGCAGTCCACGTGTTCGTAAGTACAGAGTGTTCACAACCCAGATTTTATTTATTTACATTTTTTATATTCCATCCAATACTAAAAGTCTCTGGACAGCTTACAAAAAACAAGAAACAAAAAACAAAACAACCACATACAGCAACAACCCACTTGATAGTTTGTCACTGTAAGGATTCAAAGAGATACTTGTGGTAGTCCTTTAAGGAGGTGGCATTAATGTTGCTAATAAAAGGTTGTCTGTTTGCTTAGATTCCTACCTTTCTTGTGAACCAAGTAAGAAAACAAAATACTGAAAGCCAGAAGAAGGAAAGAAAAGAGAAAGCAATGAGGAAACTGCTGAAAAAAATGGCTTATGATCGAGAAAAACATGAGAAGCAAGACAAAAGCAGCAGTGATTTAAAATGTGGCAATGACGTAAGCAAGTAACATTCAGTACATAAACAGCTGTAGAGTTCAACCTTAAATCATAGACATACCACTCAGGCAAGTGGTGAAGTTATCATAAATTCCAAACCTGATTCTGTTAAAATGTTGCCTCCACAACTAGTAGAAGCGTATGCAATATTTTTGCTGTTATTAGTCAAGATATTAAAAATGGCTGGATATTCCAGTTTGGAAGGTTCATATTGGTAATATTTGAAAACTTACACCTTTGCCTCTTGAAATTCATGCCACTCCCAAATATCTTAAATATTCCAGACTAAGTAGTCAGATAGAAATTTAATTTGGTATAATTTGTATCCTACTGTCTACTTATGTTTAGTACTTCTGGTCCGTGGGCTTGATCCTGCCCCCAGGGGTTTCTACAGACTGACAAGTTTGTTCTGCTTCCATTTCCAATGACTGATCAGAGATTAAAGCATATTTAAAGGCAATGGAACTTTAAATACCCTATATAGGATTTTAGCTGAGCTTTTTTGCAAAAAATTGAATATTGCATAGAATTCAACTGTGGCTTTTGCAGGCATGGGAGTGATTATACTGGGGCTTGCTCATTAGTAGACATGCAAAGAATTGAGCTGTGCTTTGCTTGCTTGGTGGAAAAATGTCTTACCAAATTAGTAGGGATTACAGTTATCCTTGGTGTGTCCCATGCCTTTAACTCTGTTCACTGCTGGACTATGCCCCTAAAACCCACCCCCATTTGGCATGAGAAGATCTCATGCTATTATGATATAACAATGTGTAATATACAGCAGAACACATTAAAAGGCCTGGAATATCCCATGGATCTTATTTATTGTGCTGATTCTACAAGCTGTTCCTGTTGGACCATACTCAGTTTGCTGCTTCATTTTTCAGTGAACACCTGCTGTTTTCATATTCATAATGGGTTAAACAAAGCCTTTTGTCTAGTTAATTTTATCTGGCTTGTGTTAAAGTCAGCATAATATAAATGTAGCACATAAATGAATACATACATTTACACTTTTTAGTGTAACCCATCTTCAGGTGAAATAATGTTCACAGCCTCAGTGGACTAGAGACATCTTGTGGAAATCTGTAAAATTGCAGTGGCCTGAAGAACACATTGCTTTTTAAAAGCTTTTGGGATTTTGGGGCCAGGTTAGATAACATGTTAATGTTAATTGTTATGTAAAGTAAGTGTGTGTGTGTGTGTGTGTGTGTGTGTGTGTGTGTGTGTGTG